AAAGAAAACTGAAGTTGTTGTTCCTTTCATTGAAATCACATTGAAAGTTAATTTTCTTGTAATTTGTGATTGCTTTCTGTACTGTTTGATGTAAGTTAAATATTATTTGTCTCGGATAATGTAATTTTTTCAATATGAAATTGTTGGAATAAAAGAATATGTACGGATTTCGTCAGTCATTTGAGTGGTGAAAGTAATAAGTTAACCCTCTTGACTTAAGTGTCAGCTGCTACAGAAGAAATCAAAATGGCGGTAGAAATTTTCGCGCGACATTATCCAGCACTTCTCCCTCCCTCCCTCAAGAAAAAGAACATTTGCTGCACTGCAGACATTACACGTCCCCCCCCCTGTAAAAACCGTTGATGTTGTACTTAATAATCCTGTTGCGCTGCTGCGCGTGCCAGTAGCATCACGAAACGATAAAGCAGAATCTAAAGATGACCCCAACTTCTAGCCGCAGGCCATCGCAACCAACTGTTGCGCGTCATGATCTCGACAATTATCAGCACGCACGACAGCCAGCCAACGGACGATCCAGAGTTCTGGCAGGTGTTCCGACCCATAATGGAGGAAAAAAGAGGGAGACAAGTGGACCCCCGTCACAAAAGACAGGGCCCATTATAAGGAAGAAGAAAAAGGGGGGAAAAGGGGAATGAAGAAGAAAAAAAAATGCACTTTTCAGCTTCTCCAGTTGGTTGTTAACCCCGAATCCAACATCTGCTGGAAGGTCATAGTGAGGCACTGAAGTTTTACGTGTAGGCCTGACCTCTACTTCTCTAGTTGGCTAAGTTGAGAATTAGCGGAACACGCAGTGCCTTTTTTCCTCTATCAGAGTGCATTTTTCGACTTTCTCCTTGTGAAGGTTTTTTTTTTCCTCTTTCACTTTTTTTTTAATAATAATTCTTTAAAAGCATTTGCAGAATGTTGGAAAATTCACATTAAACTTGCGAAACAAAACTAATATTGTTTTACCTTTCTGTCCCCCCCTTTTTAGCCTGGCATTTTGGGTCGATTCAATTTTCAAACTGTTGCCACTAAATATAGCTCTGTATTATATTTAAAGAAATTAAATAATGAAGAAGCTGCATAAATGTATATATGTTTCTCGCATTGTGATAAAACAACGGTATCTAGAGCCATCAAATTTTGAATAATAAATTCCTCCGAATATGGGAAGCCCTGATTTGGAATTTGTTTTATTATCTATTTCATATTTTGCCAGACATTAATGAATTTTTGATTATCAAACTCAACAATTTCAAAGCGAGGAATGACATTTTTTTTTTTTTTTTAAACATGGCGGATTTTACTCTCAGTTGTAGTAACCGTTCTCAAGCAATTGTAAGATTTCTCCGCCTCATTTGTACTCTCGCTTTTCTAGTGAAATGCAGTTCATCATTTTTACTGTTAACTGGAGAGGTTCGGACAAAAAAGGAATGCGTATTGTGCTAGTTTTAAACTAAAAGTTATAATTTTTGCTGAACAGTGTAATGGACGAAATTGAAAATGATATTACCTGCGAAGAGGCGGATGACAACAATGTAAATGCTGAAATATCGGATGATGACACTCGCCCGCACTTCCGTCAAGCAGCGAGAAACTCCAAAGAATTGCTCGGAAATACAATGTCAGATACTGGTATTAAAAATTTTGACTTTTGTACATAAGGGTTAAATGAAGTAAATTAGCATTTTTCTGTTGTTTAATCTATAACACCGTTTTTGTGTTGGAATTATTTGTAAATAATTTTGAACTAGGGTCTGAGCCACTCACTAAATTTCAGTGGTTTAAAAAAAAAAAAAAAAAAAAAAAAAAAATGTGCAAAAAAATTCGTTTCATGTATGAAATTTTTGAAGAAGGGGAAGTGCACACATAAAATTATGCATTTTAATTAATTATTTTTTTCAAAGTTCGTAATCAGATAAATTCATGGCAACTGAAATAATTTTGCGGAGATATTTTATACTTATTTGGTTATATTATACTTTACTTGGTTCCTAGTACGAAAAATCCAATATAATAAGTACAGTATGTTGTATTTCATAAAAGCATAAAAGGCTGTATGCGGCAATGCATATTTCTGTGTAATCATTTTTGACTTAGTTCGTTCATTGCAGTACATCTACTATAGAAACACTGAGTTAATTAAACTTCCGCTTATGTTTATAAATATGTGATACGATTTATATCATCTAGTATGCTATACGATACACACACACAAAAGAAGATTTTAAGATTATAAAACACTGTCGCATTAGCTGCCAACTCTCCCTGTAGATCACGACTCTTCAGTTTTCAGCCTATACCAGGGCTTCTTAAACTTTTTTCAGTCGCGACCCCTTTTTATCACTGAGATTTTTTCGCGACCCCTCAGGACCCCGTAATATTTACAAAAAAATTGTAGAACCCCATGAATATTGCGCAAATCCGACACACGCGTGAGTGAAACTGCTAATTTTTTCACTTGTACTGTAATATACTATTGCAGTTTTAGGTCATTAACTTTAATTTCCAATTTTAAGACATAGAACAATGTGAAAATTTTAAATAAGTAACAGACGAAATGTGCAAAGCAAGGAAAATGAACGTTTATATTATAAAAAGAGTGCGTCGAAACGTTTTTTTCTTTTGTCTGTATTGTCTTATCTTTATCTATTTTCAGATACATTGTGTAAAAATATTTGGTAATTGTAAAATTATTATAATAAATTAAGGAAATATCAAAACTGCTACAATTTTTGGCGACCCACTATTTAAGAAACCCTAGCCTATACTAAGGAAAATACTTCTCAGCCATAAATGGAATTTATTGAATTAATGAAACTAAAATTGAGCAAACTCCATTCCCCCACCCCTGCTAATTTTCAGCATAAGTTTTTTTTAAATGTATTAAATTTTATTTGATTTGGATTTTGATTGTCTTAATCTATTACAGATATTTGTAGAGCTTCTGTATGAAGATTTAACTAACGTTTAGTTTGTATTTAATTTTGTTTTACGTCAAAAAATTGTACATTATTAAGTTTATCTTCACAATACTGTGTATATTTATTGTTGACTTTATTTTCATCGTATTTCATATAAGAACAAAAAACTTAAAATACGTAATTAAAAATTAATATATTTGCATTGGAATCACATTATAAATATCTCGGTGATCCGAATCAAGCATTATAAAGTGAATTCAAGTGACTTCGGAGTTCTTTTGAAATCGTGCCGTCACGAAATCCTCCCGGAAACTCACGCGATAATACCAATATTCACGCATTAATACCCTTTTTTCCTTCTTGGCTCGCCTGCTGCCGAGCGGGTAAAGTCGCTGAACTTCGGTAGTTCCGACCTGCGTTCGATTTCAAGCGAACCGGCTGGCTGCATGGGCGTTTTTATGGTTTTGCCCATGTGTAACATGTATACGACCCAGTTTAACTTAGAAAGTCCTCCACAAAGGCATCCCTTCCCTTAGCTTCTGTAGATAGACAGTCTGCTTTGCCATAATCTCAATAAACCAAGCCAACCTGAATTTTCTTATTTCAGTCTTAGCAGCTCTGCCTTCGTAAATAACATAAATTACTGTTAATTTTATTGGTACCAGTATTTTGAACATTACACGAACATAAAATTAATACACATGCTTTAAAAGAACAAATAATTAAAAAAAAATCATGATAGGTAATTGAAGATGTGTGGAGTTCGAACCCGCAGTAGTGCAGTCAGTCAAGTAGCAGTAATAACTGCTGCTTGATGGATTGCACTACGCGATACAAATAGGGTATGAATATTATGTTTTTTTATCTGCTGCCTTGAATAGTCGGGGATACGTGGAGTGAATGCCATTACCTATTTAAATTTATACACATTAAAATTAGCTATTATAAACACGCATCCTCGTAAAGATCGATGTAATTATCTTCCAGATAGATTCACTTCGGCTGACACAGCATTCTTTTTCGATATTCCGTTGAAATTTATCATATCTACAGCCTCTCAGCTTCTTATCTTATGTGTTCCAGAATTACCTTTGGGCAGGAAACTTCAGTCAACACCTCTTTTTTATACTGGTGAACAAAATTAAGAGATTGGAAAACATTTTCCCACATTTCTCCTTAAATACCACTCAAAACTTTGGCAGTTGGTTTTTATATAATGTTACTGTGGTTTGGGTGTTGTTGAGACGAGTTTACAAATTCCTGTAGGCGTTGCTACACCAGCAGGAGATATAAAAGTCCGCGTTCAGCTGCTTAGCTCATTCTATTAATTCCCGCTGTAAACCAAAATATGCAACCAAAGCATCAGTTCATTCCGCTCTGCAACACAGTAGTGATGTTTATTGTCTTTCTTGAATAATCTTGTTGTTCTTTGTTGTTTATTAGGTGAAATGAGTATATATCACTGCTTAGACAAAAGTATGAGATGGAAAATCGTGGATAGGCTTGAGGCAGGGCAGTCCCAAGCTTAGGTTGCAAGAGAACTAGATATAACACCAAGTGTCGTCTCTAATTTATGAAATTAGTTTAAAAACGGTAGTGCGAAGGCCACGTTGTCCTGCCAGAAGGCCAAGACAAGGTCGTCCGAGATTCACAACGACTAATCACGACCGGTATTTGGTACTTTTCACCCAAGCGCCAGAGGACGTCTGCAGCCACACAACTGTCTCGTAACCTCGCTATTGCCACAGGAACATCAGTTTCAAGGAAGACTGTTGCAAAAGCTCCATGTGACCAGACTCTATGCCAGAAAGCCTTCTATTTGCATCTCACTCACTCCCTCTCACAAAAGAGAGCGTTTATAATGGGCTACAACACCAACACTGGGCACAGCTTCAGTGGGTTAATGCTGTCTTCACGAATGAGTTCAGATACAACCTGATTCTCGGCGATTAAAGATGCGGAGCGAACCTGGAACCCGATATTATCCCAGCAGTATCATGGAAACGGACCAATATGGTAGTGGAGGAGTGATGGCATGTTCAGGGATCATGCAAGATAACCGTACACGGTTCCATGTTGTTTGACACTGGTTCTGTGAATGCCCAGAGGTACAGACAGGAGATCCTAAAGCCCTATGTGCGAATTTTTAGGAGTGCTGTTTGTCTTGAGCTCATTCTTATGGACGACAATGCACGATCACATAGACCCCGCGTGGTTGATGACTATATGGAAAGCAAGGGTATTCGCCGTATGGATTTGCCAGCCAAATCTCCTGACCTTAATCCTATCAAACTTGCTTGGGATGTTCCTGGGAAGGGCTATTGCAATACGCCAACTCTCACCCAGAACCATTCAGGAGTTAAAAACTGTGGTGAAGGAGTGGGTGCGACTTCCACAGGCACTCTTGAACTCTCGTGTTAACTGCATGGCTACTCATTATGCATGCTGTCTGTCTATCAGAGGCGACCACACACCATACTAGCCACATTTTCACTGCCATCTTTCAACCTCAAGTTTGGGCCACATTGGACTTTTGGACTCATGCTAATTTGAATGACATTTTCATTCTTGTTTTTTAATTATCATTATAATGCAATAAAATATATCCATACCTATTTCATTTATTTCTATCCATTATTTCTCGAGATATTTGGGAAAAAGTGTTCCATCTCTTAATTTTGTCCGCTAGTGTAGGTGCTGTCTCCAGGGGCGTTCCTAGGCCATTGACTGCCTGCTTACTTTCCTAATATTGCCGCAAAAACTCAATGATTAGTGAATTTTTTATTTCATACTCACTAAATATTTACATATGACAAACTGTATAAAAAGTACCTACATATGACAATGAATTTAAAATATTTAGGCATGGCATCGCGAGAGTCCGGCCGCCCCTGATTTAGGCCGCCCGCGTACTTTTACGCGCTGCACCCCGGCTAAGAACGGCCCTGGCTGCCTCTCATTGCAAATACTCATCATGGCTTCCTCATTCTTTCCCTGTCCGTTTGAGTGACAAAAGCAACTTTGAGCAGCAAAGGGAGAAGTAGAATTATACCAATTTTGCCATCGTCTTGGAACTATGGTGCCGTACCCCCATATGACCCCTTTGGTCAAGGATTCTTCTTCAGAATTTTTTTTTTTTTAATTATTTATTTTTTTTTTTTTTTTTAACTATGCTAACACAAAATCGAAGCTCAGTGTGATAGATGGTGAAAGGATTATAAAACAAGAGAAAGAGTTTGCGTGATTTACAGTCGCTGTTTAATTTATGTGTTACGTTTTAAAAAATTCTTAAGAAGTGTTACGCGAGAAATTTGTTATAAGAATTTGCTAGTAATGGGAAATGGCTTTCTCGTCTTCATTTCCAACCCGCTAGAAATCGGGGTTATGTCTCGAGTTGGTGGTTATTGAGAGATATCGCGGCTGTTCTACTCCTGCCCCCACGAAAGTAAATTAAGCTTGAGTGTAGCGGAAATGATATCGTGCATTATTTGAGTGGTAACGTTATTTAGAGTGATATTTGTATAGTGTATTACTCGTTTTGAATGAATGAATTTTGCAATAAGTAGCCTTGGAAGTAAAATTGATTCATGAAGGCATTTTCTCATTTTTTATGAACTCATGCTGAATTTGAAATTTAATTGCAGGAAAATCGGTAAATAGATGAAAATGTTTAGTGGTGTTCACATAATAAAGCGTCTGCTGGTGTAAATCCGATTACGCTTCTTACTAATCGACGTAGTTAGCGGTTTAAAAAACTTCTCTCTCTGTGTCTATTTTTCAGATTTCGTTGCAGATTGTTGTTAAGAAGTATTACGACAGAAGCTGTTTGTTGTAAGTAACGCAAATGAACTCGAAACGAAATGCAGAGTTTATGAATATGAAACTCCGCTAAGTTCTGAATGCCACTTAATGAACAATATTTACTTAATTGAATGCCTTAATTGGAAATTAGCGATCTACCACTAACAATTGCGCTGTAAAAATGGTTTGAAGTTGGTTGATTTTAATTACGGTAAAGCACGCATGTGCTATCTGTGCCTTCGTAAAGAATTTTTTAATTGAAACTGGCTAGGTAACATACATATGGGCAGAACCTTATGAAGCCAACCTGCTCACCGTCAACCCAACTCGAACTACCGGTTATCGACCTGGCCAGAAGAATGAATAAGCTGTAAAAAATCTGTAAATACATAAAAATCTCAGAGAGAAATCAGAGAGGTCCTGTTTAATGAAAGAAATATGCAGTTTTTATCTTGTTCTATAATATATTAAACAACAACACAAGGGCACTGCGAAAATACCGGGTTGCTAGAAATTATCATGCAAGGATGTTGGTTATATTAAATTCCGCTGATTGAATGCGAATAGATTTTATGCAGCTTGATGAGACTCGAAACAGCTCCAAATTGTAGCATATTCTTGCGTGCGTACCAGTATGTGCAAGTCCGATGAAAAATGAACAAAATTTATTATTATTACAACAAAAATGCTTAAATTTCCTCAGATATTCGCGGAGTATTACAATATCTCACAGTAGTTATCTTTTAACTACTCAAACGTTCGAGAGAACTTAATTCAAAACAGCTAGAGACAGCTAATTCTCGAATTCGCTACAGTCAACAAGAGCAGTTTTCTAAACAAACTGTTAAAACAACAACTAAATAAATAATAACAAATTGAGAGATTTTTATGCTGCTTATATAAGCTTTTTAAATGCGCGAGAATTTTCTGGAAATCAAAAAGGGATATTTATTTATTAAATGTTAAATGCACGCGCTTTTGTATTTTTAATCCCCGGCTTAGCTTTCTTTTAATAATCATCACGCGCTGCACTGTATGGGGAATAAAACAATTTTATTTATAATTCTACTAACATTAACTAATTAAATACCAAATCCGTAACAATATGTGAATTAAAAATACGATTGTTAGTGTGACTAAGTACACTAGGCTTTTACAAATCTCAACTGTATGAATAAAAAGAGGCAAAACTTGCCTTTATCGTAGAATGAAAGAAAATATTCAGCGGAAGATACTAAAAAAAGTATAAAAGCAAAAACGCGGAAGACAATTGGCTCTGTTACATGGTGCTAATTTGCCTTGTCAATATTTTGCCGGATGAACCTCGCGACTTAGATAACCGGCGGAAACTCATAATGAGATGATCTAAGAAGTCCCAAATGCTGATAATATTAAAACAGGAAGCAGCTATATATATATATATATATATATGATGATCTTAAGAATGGTTTCTCTATGTAGCTTTCTGATATGATTATTTTAATGCGTTATTCTTCTCCACATGTTTTGATTAATTTTCATTCGTGTTCAGTTGCGAAATGTCTGAAGATCCTCGGTTTCTGCGTCTCTAAATGTAGTCCATTGTATTTTTATCGTCATGAGTTAAATCTGTTTGTGTTTTTTCTAGAAATAAATCTACGGGATTTGCTCTTTTCTGTTGCATCCTTCTGTGTCAAGGGTTTCTGTTTTCACGTGCTTTTTGAGGATATGTCTTTTTGTATAGAAAGCGGAAACAATTTTGTCTTATCAAACCGATGTTATTTAGATAGTGTGAAAGCACGTAATAATAACAATTAATTTTTGGTCATCATCGCAGCTGTTTTCTCTTACTTCATATCATCTATAAACTGGTAAGTTCTGAGAGATCGTTAATAAAAGTGTGTATTTGTTTAAGAGATTATGTCAAAGCTCACGAGAACTAATTGAGTAAGTGAAAGGATGCCTTCATGTGGACGTTTTAAAGGAAACTGGCGGCTGATACTCACGTTACATGAAAGAAAACATCAAAAACACCCATGCAACTAACCCGTTTGGGCTGATCGCTGACTCATTTAATTAATAATAAGCAATTCGCGAAAAAGTGTATTTCTTTAACTATACTAAAATTTTAGGTCCTTGTGAAAAGATTCTAAAGATCTAAATTTTTTACAAAAAACGAATGAAAATTTTATGATCCATGAGGAGTATTTTATGTACGTTCGTGAAGAAGAAAGGCTACTTCATTCAGATTCATAGTAATTTTTAAATATTTGAAATAAATGAGAAATTACTCAAATCAGTTCTTTAACTATGTGACTTAATTAGTGTTTTCTCAAAAGGTCACCACCCGACAGTGACCGAGTGGTTAACACCGCTTAATACTGGGACCGCTTAATACTGTGTGAAAGGGGCTGGTTGTTTGGTTTTCCTTATATGTATAGCGAATAGTTTCCTTTAGAAAGTTCTCCACGAAGGCATTCCTTGGCCCTCGTATCCAGTTAACTGTAATTAAGTGCGTAACATAGCGGATTTCGATTTTCAGTTGGTTGACAGCCATGGTTATCTTAGTTTTCCCTGAAGCAGTTTCTTAATGATGCCTCATCTTAAAAGTTGTGGGAGCTTCATCCAAGGAGGCCATTAGGACGCCAAAAAAGTTTCAAAAATATGTCTGTACCTCTTTGAAGGTCAGTTTTTAGTTTGAAGGAAGTATATTTCATAAAAGTGCGCTCACATTTATCTGGGGGCAACATTATGTAAGCAAGATTATCGTTTGCTTTATTAACTGGATTAGCAAATTAAAGCCATACTTACATAAAGGAGTTCACCAGCGACCGAGCGGTGAAGTTGCTAAACCCTGGAGTTCGGTCCAAGTTCGAATCCCTGCAAATGGGCTGGCAGCATGGACGTTTTCGTAGTTTCCCCATGTGTAACGTGGATATGAGTCAGTTTACCCAAGAAAGCCCTCCACGAAGGCATCCCTCTCCTGAGGCAGATAGCCCTCGTATACTTTGACGTAACCAAATCAAAAACCAAACTTGCATAAAGGAGCCGGCACCTTTATATCGACCCTGCTTTGTGGAGGCGAATTGTGTCGCCTAAAAGTGCCGGCACTTTTATGACTAGGCACTGCTATACAGTGATCCCATTTTTACCATGTGTAACTTAAAATATGAACCAGTTTTCCTTAAGTGGCCTCCTTGAGAATTCTAAGAGCTTTGACATAATTAGCTAAGCAGAAAACAAAATCTAAAATAACTAATCTATAAAAGCAACTTTACTTCTAGTATTTAATACTTACGAAGAGCATTTCGTTAGAACTCCTTAAATTTTACTTCCGCGTAAAGTATTCGGTGTAGCGTAATCGTTGAACTTCACAATTTCAGTGAAACTTTTAATAATTTCCTTGAACACGCTGAACACATTCTTTTAAGTATGCGTGAGTAAAGCCGCTCGATTTAGCTTATTCATTGATTAAGAAGAAAATATTGGCGAAGAAATGTACCATTTTATTTAATTTTCTTAACGTAAATTTGCTAGGGAGCCCATAAGATGCGGACATAAACTGCTTGATAACAAGCGATAAATTTATCATTCTTATCTCGA